GTTACTACGAGTGTATTTTGCATGTATGAAGTTTGCATGGCTTGGATAAAGGGATTGGGAGGGGAGGAATTGGACCAATGATCGAAAGATATGTCTTGGGAGTATGCTAGAAGACAAAGAGCACTAAATAAGGCTCTGAATGGTGGTGATAGACCATGTCAAAGTTACCTTATATGTGATATGGCCTGGCCAAACAAGAAAAGACATTGTATTTTATGGTGAGTGCTCATTTCCTACATCCCTTATGTGTGGCACAACCACACCATGGGGTTTTGACGTAAAACTATTTTGTTTAAAATATCGGTTTCAGGTCAGATTTTTTATGGTTTTAAGTTCTTATTTCGTTTTTATGAGTTTTTTTATGTGGAGGATTCAACATTGGGTTAAAAACATTGTATTTTAGTGATTGTTGGTTTAAGTTTAGTAAATAATTGATATATTGTTATTGTTATATTTAATTTTGTTGGCCTGAAGAGCCTAAGTATCCACTAATAATGGAGATATATATTGTAAGAAAAAAAAGTTTAAGCTCAATTATAATTTCTTATTAAAAAATTTGGTTTAAAGTAGAAAACCAAAATAAAATGAATACGACTAGGGTTTATTATTGCAGGGAAAAATTGAATTACATTGAAGGAGGAAATAACTAAAATAGGAAAGCTATATATGGTTAACCTAGCTAAATGGTTAAATAAAAACTCAATAAAATAGCCCCTAGCATTCCCCACTCAATCTTACAATGTGACAACAATAAAAATTCAAAGTTTGTCACACAAGAAGCAAAAAAGAGAGGCCAATTGGGCTTTCGTGAAAATATTGGCAATCTGCAAGGCCAATGGAACATGTGGTATCGAGATGGTTCATAGATGTTGATGATGGTGACTGAAATAATAGTCAATCTCAATATGCTTTGTCGGCTCATGGAAAATAGAAATTCTTACAACATGTATCACACTCTTCTCACAATGTAGGGGTAGGTTGGAAAACATCAAAATCCATATTTGTGAGGAGCCAACATAACCAAACAATTGTACCATTGGTCACAACCATAGCTTAATACAGCTTAATAATACCGAGCCTTTGTAGAAAACCCAAGAAACATCATATTTCTTACTTTTCCATAAGACAAGTGAATCTCCAAGAAAAAATAAGGAAATCGATGGTGGACTTGCGATCATTAGGATCATTGTCCGAATCAGCATCAATATAGGCATACAACTGAAATATCCCAAAAATACGGTCCAAAAATTTCGTTTTAAATCATTAATAAAACCATAATTATCAAAATCATTCATTCAAAATCATAAGTCATCGTATCAAATCAGAGTATCATATTGAACACATATCAACATATCAGAGTGAAACATCCTAGGCTAAAAACATCTTGGTGTGTGCAATGCAGTCATCCCGAGCTCTTTTCTTTGCAACTGAAAGTACCTGAAACCAAAACTGAAAACCGTAAGCACGAAGCTTAGTGAGTTCCCCAACCTACCACATACCATACACATAAGCACATATACTCCCCCCCCCCTACGCTACATCGGGCCCTCCCGGCATCGGACAAATCTGGTATCAGGCCCCGTCTGGCATCGAGCCCCGCTCGGTATACAAATCTGTTTCTCTTAGGCCCCGTCTGTCTCTGGGCCCGCCCGCTATACACATACAACAATAACATATAATCATACTAGCACATAAAGAAAACATACTCTAAATGTATTTCCTGTCCTAAGGCCTCGCCTAACTTGGGCCCTGCCCCTGTCCTGCTATTGATGAGTCATGGAACCCCGTCCATACTCAGCTAGTGATGAGATACGGGACCTCGCCCACACTTACCTGCCTACCGGGCACATACAAATATCACACAGACAACAAGTATAATCTATCATGCAAACATTCCTCGGGCTTGCCCCGGCATCAGACCTTAGTCCAGAATAACATATAGATAAACCTTCCTTGGGCCCCGCCCGACATCGGACCGAAGTCCGGAAGCATATAAACATTCCTCGGGCTTACCCCGACATCGGATCGTAATCCGGAACATATAACATAACTGAGACCAAGGGCTAACCCCCGGGTCTTCCTATCATGCATAAACTAAATGGGTCGGCATTGTGGCCTTAGACCCATACAAACAAGAGGAAACTCACCTCGCGCTGCTGAAGTCCCGCGGATAATCCTTTGGCTGCTAACTGGCAATTCCCGAACTGCAGATCCTTCGGCTCCCCGAGCTATCAGTACTGGAATAACACTTAGTCAAAACCCAATAGTCCTTACTTGGGGTGAAATGACCGTTTCACCCCTGGCCCAACAAGATTCACAACCAAGGCCCAAAACTATCAATCCATAAATATCCATCAATGGCCCAATTTTCCAAATTGGGCCCAAACCCTTACATGGACCTTTCCCCACAGGCCAATTACTTTTCTAAACCAATGATTTTCCAATGGTCCAAAAGTCCAAGCCCATTGGGCCCAATCAAGGCCTAACTACATTGGGCCCACTAAGGCCCAATTCATCATTCAAGGCCCATTAGGGCAAGCCCAACCAGAAGTCCATTACTCTAAAATCCTTAGTCCATTATGAGCCCAAACCAAAAGACAAGTCCAATATCAAGCTAACCCACAATCAAAGAGTCCAAAACTTGCACAGGGGTTGCTCACGTCGTGAGGTCGTGGTTTCAGTCCAGGAACTTCCTCGAATACGTACTCACGTCGTGAGTCCAGATCTGACCAAAAATGAGCATTAAGCTCTTAATCCATTAAGCCTTAACATGGGACAGTTTATAGGGTCTTCCTTGACCCCCAAGGACCATAAAAATCGAAGCTTTTTAGTCACATATGTCTAATACATGACTTAAACACCAACTTGGGTCAAAATGGAGTAAAAATGTCCAAGACTCAAACTTGGAGTCCAAAACCATGACCAAAATCCAGATCTGAGACTTATAAGGCTTAAGATACCACCATGATCCATAAAGTTGCCAACTTTATGGATTCCATGCATTCTAACCAACATTACAAGCCATAAAATGCATTGAAACTTAGATATAGCAAACAAGGAAAGGAAAGGTTTGAGCTTGAGGACTTACAAAGGTCCAAAAGCTCCACAACTAGCTGATGATGAAGCCAAGAAGCTAACCAATGCACCACCAATGATCTTCTTCTCCTTAATGACCTTCAAAGCCTCCAAAATCTCTTGAATAACACCAAAATGACCAAGAACTTCAATGGGGGCTGAGATTAGGGTTTCCAGAGGTCTTGGGAGTGAAAGAGGCTGGGGAGAAGCAACCCTAATCATCTTATATCTTTAAATACCCGAAAATTAGGGTTTTGGAGCATCAGGCGCTCCTCACGTCGTGAGCCTTAAATGAACTTGGTCAACAAGTCAACGATCCCTCACCCGAACTACTCCAACTTCAAACGACCATAGCTTCTTCGTTTTAACTCCATTTTTGACGTTCTTTATATCCACAGAAAGGTGGCGAGAAGCTCTACACATCTATCAACTTATCCCCACCTCAAAACCTTCCGAACGAAAATCCAAAATTCATAAAGAACTCGAACTGCCACTTTACCGATATACCCCCTTGGCTCCACGACACAACCCAATTACCGGATCACCTCAATTACATTATCCGTACCTAAATGGGTCTAGATCTCTCTTTCCAAAGGCCCTAAGCCTTAAGATAACCCATCTTCAGGCCACAGTCCCGAATTAGGAAAGCGATTCAAAACAGGGCGTTACAACAACTCATAGAGAAGACATCAACAAGAGCAAAATGCTCTGAAACTGAGGGCCACAAAGATATCTTAAAAATACGAAGAGCAGTTCCCTGGTGAACAGTGGTAGGAGCAATGACAAATTGACTAACCACATGAACTACATGGGTCATGTCTGGTCGAGTGATTGTAAGGTAAACCAAACTCGCCATAATAGTGTGATACATACTCACATTTGATAAAAGAACGCCATCAGTCAAAGAATATCATATTATCATGCATTGGTTTCAAGAGGCATGCCAACGATCTAATTGTTAGAGAGACATGCACAATCAAACTGATAGCCCTTTTGAGATTAAGGAACCACAATACCCAAAAAATAACACAACAAATTAAAGTCTTTCATAGCAATACGGTGAGCCAAATCATGCTTTGAATACTCAATGTCATCACAATCATAACTCCATTAATGATAATAATCATGTCATCTGCACATAAAAATATGAGAATCCAACCTACACCCGTTCATGTACCAAACAATGTTGGAATCATAATTACTAACAAGAAAATCAACATAAGTAAATACCATAGATAATTTCTCAAACCAAGCATAATGGGCCCATCTAAGACCACATAGAGCTTTATAAAGCCAATACTTTACGACTAACAAGAAAATCAACATAAGTAAATACCATAGATAATTTCTCAAACCAAGCATAATGGGCCCATCTAAGACCACATAGAGCTTTATGAAGCCAATACTTTACGACTGGTAAGCAATACATATGGAAGAGCGCAAGGGGCTTATTTAAGACCATAAAAAGCTTTTATAAAGCTTTTTAGGACTTGTTGCGGTAGAAGTGTTCAGTTAAAATAGCTGTGAACTTTTGAAAACTGTAAAATCATATAAAATCTATATTTCATATTCGTTAAAAAAAGTCATCCAAGTTTCACAATTTTTTCTATGTTCATCACTTTGATATGCTATAACATGTTAAAATAGTCATAATAGGTTTTTTTTCTCAAAGTTCAATAGGTTAATGAGATTTTGACACTAAACTTTGATGTTAAAGTATTCCACTAAAGCCACTATTTAAAAAAAAAAAAAAATCAATTATAACCAATTAACTTTTATAGGATGTCATAGCAAGTCAAATCCATTGACACTGAAAAAATTGTCAAACTTTAGTGGCTTTTACTGACGAAAGAGAAATATAATAGATAAACCACAAAAAAATGGCCAAAATACAGTAGTTTTTATGTATTTCTTCCTATAATTAACTCCAAATTCCAAAAAATATAATAAAAACCCTAAATCTGATTCAATTTAAAGTTTGACCCAATAGGTTATTATAAGTTAACACTAACATAACATCATATCAATTTCTCAAGCAACAAAAGTATACCTACCAATTTGTCATACTAAATCTTCCAATCATAAACACATAATCTAAACAAACACATTTTCCATAATTTACAACATCCAGAGCTTCAACCTGCCATGGTAGAATAGTCAAAACTTCATGATGAAGACACAAATGGCAATCTATTAGTTTTATCACTTCACAAACGGAATCCCAGAAGGAACCCTTTTAGCAAACTCATCATACTCCACCCCAAAAAACTGTCTCAAAAAGAACTCCTCATATGGTATTCTTCTATGAAAAAAGTTCCATACAACTAATGAAAACCCAACAGTTGAAACAGGATTACACAGCATTATTTGAGTCCCAACTGACCAAATCAAGAATCCTGTGTACCCTGGATGACGAACAATGCTATAAACTCCATGAGTTACAAGTCTATGATGATCCTCATGATGTCTTTGAATTAAATGAGTGAAAGCTCTTCCAGCAGTTATGATTGCAAGTTTTCTTATGATTTCCCCAAAGATAACCATCAAAAGTCCTAAATTGCTTACCCACCAGTTTTCTTTTAGTTCAGGGAAAAAGTATAGTTCGAGTAAGTATTCAAGAACAGAAAAGATCATTGCAAAGATGTAGTGTTGGCTGATTAAGAGGGATTTAAGAGTTACATTGGATTTCCCATGAAATTTGATTGCTAAAAGGTATTCAGAGCCATGAAAGAAGAGTATTGCAAAGAACATTTGTGATAATTGTCTGGAGGCAGTGTGGCTGAATGTTTCTGTCATGTTTTACAGATTGATTAAGATTTAAGAGAGATTTTTGGAGAAGATTGAGGTTTAAGTCAACAAGGTGTAGGAATTTGATCGAGTAATAAGGTGAGTTTTACTTCAGACCTGAATAGGAAGAGCTGTCCAGAAGTTGAAATACAATTTGGGTATTCAGGTCAATCAGAAAGTGCTTCAAGGAGAACATTTCTGTAAACAATTAAAAGAGCATGATCATTTTCAAACAATAACAATCCAAGCAAAAAGATTCAATAAAAATATGAACACTCACTCACACCTACAAATGGAAATTGAGCTTGATAAAACAGGTTGAGGCCTTTATGATTTCGTTTTATACTATGAGATTACTTAGTTTGAATTCATTATCAGAAAAGCGTATACAGATTGAGAAGCAACGACTACTTAGGGGCGGAGGCTGAATTCAAGATTTATTTTTATGAACCCTAAACCACTAAAAACCCAAATTGACAAATTTAAACAGCGCTATTCACTATAAACCGTAGAAAAAACACCTGAATTAGACAAAAAGCGTCAACTTGGAAGAGAAAACAGGAGAGAAACGATGCCAACCAAACGCACAACTAAACCTCGTGTAGACTTGATTGTTGTGGTGATTAAAAATTATAAAGGAATGATAGCAAAACTTACACAAAAATAGGTCAACGTTGGTAGAGCAAAGAGAAGAGAACCGATTGGAAACTTGATCGCGCCGCCGCTGGCGACTGAGAGAGTACCGTCGCTGGGAGACTGCAGTAAGGTTGGATCTGGGGCTTGAGGTTGACCTGGCCCTGGGGACTATTGCAATTTTTCCAAATAATCAAATTTGTTTAAGTATCTAGGGGTGTTTGTCTTAGTTTTGAGAGGGCAAAAATACTTTTACGAAAAGATTAAAGGTAAAAGATGTTTGGCAAAAGACTTTTAAAAGCTACTTTTGGATTTTGGATAGAAGGAAAATCAACTTTTTGGAAAAGTCAGGAAAACCTGATTTTTTGCAACTTTTCTAAAAATGACTTTTGCCTCTGAAAAGCTAAGTCAAACACCCCTTAGTATGTTTAGAAAATGCATTATAAATGTTATAAAATAAACCATAAATCAAAATAATAACTTTTTCTTAATTTATTACTATTTGTTTTTTAATTAAATGTTTAAAATTATTAGAGTATATAGTCTATTTATTTATTTTTATTGATGACTCAAAAGATATTAAATAATCAATATACTTAACCTTCAGATATCATCAACTATATATATTATCATTTAGAGACCAATATTTCTTGGTCAATTCTAAACCCTAATTTCTTTATTTTTATTAATATGAATTATTTAAAACTAATAACTTTGATTCTAATTTATTAATTAATATATATATATATATATATATATATATATATATACACACACATGCTTAAATATCTCTATATATTTATAAAATCGTTCTTAACTTGCGTGTTTGTTATGCAGTGAAACCATCACTTGAGTTGTCTAGTGATAAAAAAAAAGAAAAAAGTTTCGAACCTCAACAAGATTGTTAGATAACGGTGGTGACTAACATTCACGAGTGGTTTTTTTTTTTTGAGAAATTATTGGGCAACATAAATTGTCTGATTGCACCCCCATTAGCCCACACCACCAACGATTGTGATATTAACCTAATTCCTAAACAGATAAACCTTGAATGCCTTTATTGAGCACGAATTTTGATTCTAAATATGTTAGGGTGTGAAAACTTCATCAATGTTCCTTTTGGTGAAATAATTCTAAGTCCTTAAGTGACTGAGCACTTGGAAAAGTGATTGGGCACTTGGAGAAAGCTCTAGGACATTTGGAGAAAGTGTTAGGGTATTTGGAGAATGTGCTTAAGGCATCTGAATATGCTCAATATATGTCAAATGCGCTCCAGGCATCAAGAGATCATCCCCTATCATTAAATGCGCGATCTAGCTCCTCAATCGTGAATACACTCCCTAACTCTTGAATATGTTGCCTACCTTTGAATGTGTTGCTTAGCTTCAAGAATGCGCTCCATACCTATAAAGGTGTTTGCATTGCTCCGGAATGCGCTCCACCACCTGGAGAATATGATGATGGAGCTAAGAATGTGTTGTTGGGTCTTGAGAATATGCTCCTAGGGTGCATGGAAAATGTCCATGCACATTCCTCATGTTTGAAGATTCTAGAAGCAACAACATGACGTTATGTGATTGGATGATCCCATTTTAAGGGCATTTTATGATCGACTATAAATAGGGACACACATCTTCATCAACATTTATGATTATACGAGTGCTAGATATGTGCGTGTATGAGTGCATAGATTTCAAGAGAGCAATCATTGTGAGGTTGAGAACATATCATTTGGAGTAGTTTGTCCACAAGATAGATTCCTTTTTGTTTGATAACTCAATTGAGGTGCAACCTTTTGTAAGTGATTGTAATTGTTCTTAGAAGTTATTAAAATCCTTTTTCTCTTGTTCTCTCGTATATGTATGTTACTTTGACCGAACCACATAAAATATTGTGTTCAATTTTTCGTTTGCAGAATTCTTAGTTTACTTCTGCGTGTTTTACCAAAATTCATTTATCGTTTGTCTGAAGTTGATTAACGCTTTTGTTGATTCCCAACAAACTCTATTAGAGCTATAGTTGAAGATGAAAAACTTACAATCGACAAATTCGAAGTTCATGATTTCGAATTCTAGAGAATACAAATCAAAGACTATCTCTTCTAAAATAAATTAAATAAAACACTAAGTCGAAAGAAGCTTGAAGGGATGAAGCACGAGGACTGGGACTTATTAAATCATAGACACTTTGAGTGATAAGGTTATCCTTACCAAAAAAATGTAGCTTACAACATTGTCGATGTGAAGATTACCTACAATATGATAAATGTGTTGTCTAATATGTATGAAAAACCTTCATCAACGAATAAGGTTTTCTTGATTCGACAGTTGGTGAATCTGAAGATGAATGTGACATCCCCATTTTCACGGCCAGAAAAGACCGATTTTGTTTATGCTTTATAAAAATCAGAGTACTTCTTTTAATAAAAATCTTGCGGAATTTGTTCCCAGAAAAACATGATAAATACGTTATCAAAGCATTTCCGAAGAAATGTATTTTTATTCATTTTAAAACATTTGGGATGTCATCGTTAATACAGAAACATAAGCATAAACAGAACTTACATTCATTTACACTAGTGATCTACATCTCTTTTAAATCTCTCAGTGTAATGTAACTTCATATCGACACCTGTGATACAAATAAACTGAGTGGGTCAGGTTGGGAAACCTGGTGAGTACATAGGGTTTTCAACCCACAATAATATAATTATTATGTTTAAACATCAAACAATCAACCCAATTACCCATCCCCATTATCTTCTTTACTCTTAAGGATCTACCCTAAGAATCAATTATTCCTCCTTCATTCATTCCTAAGGATCATCCTAAGGAATCGGCACGAAGTCCATCGTTGTCAATGACACAGCTGTCAAGCACAGCTGCTAGTTCTATCACTTAGGCGCAGCTGCCAGAATTGTGACATTCTATGTGAGGCGCAACTACCAGTATTGTCCTTCGAGCACAGCTGCTAGGGTTATCTCGTTTATTGACAATATCGTTTTCGAGAGTCCACTCGCAATACATGTCAATGGGTTTTTAGAGTACACCGGTGAACACATCGTTCACAACACCTACAGGTTGCGAGCCTGCCAGTGTTCCACTGGACTGTCTAGAATAGTCTGCGGTTGTCATCCATACTCTGCTAGATGACGGGGCCATCATTTGGGAAAGGCTTCTCACACCGTCCACCTCTCACACTTACCTCGTGGTCTATAACAACTCTCAACTCATCATCCAACTCATATTCCATCTATTACATCTACCCATGTTTTACCCAACATATTCTCGTAGATATATATACAGTTTAAATCATTTAAAACATGTATAAAATCGTTCATCCAGCATAGATAGCAAGTATACAGATAATATGCACACATATCACGTAATTTATTTAAAATACTTCATATCTATGTGTAAGATGAAAGTAACTATGCACTCACGTGAAAAGGTGGTGAATCCGAACTCAGACAGCGCTTCGCTTCTTAAAAAATAATTTCCTTCGACGAAACAACGGGTTTTATAGAAAACCGGGCTTTGCTTGGAGCAGTGTTTCCGAGCCGAAAAGCTCTTCTTCTCGGAGCCGTTGAGCACTCCGGGGCTTCCGCCTCATGCTAGGGAGGTTCCCTAGGCTTTTCGGGGGGTTTCGAGGCTAGAGAGAGGTTCTAGAGAGAGAGTAAAGAGAAGAAAGAATGGGAAAGGTGTGAAGAAAATGAGGGTGGGAGAGGTTCTATTTATAGGGTGAAAAATGGCTGAACTTGGTGCCACATGTCACCATCTAGTGGCAAGACTTGGGGAGAAAGCAATGGCCAAGATTGTGCCACATCACCCATTTTCGCACAGCACACTTCCGACTTCTAAAACCCGTAACTTTCACATACGACCTCCGTTTTTGACGTTATTTATATCCACACGTAGGTAAAAATAAGATCTACAACTTTCATTTTGACTCTGTCGGCTAATTCTCGACCAATCTTAAATTTAACAGTACGAGGAGATTATACTGTTAAATGTCCGCGTAAAATTCATAACTTCTACATACGGACTCCGTTTTCGTCTGTCTTTTTACCGTTGAGTTCCTATTAATGAGATATTCAATTCTCCTTTAGGTCGTGTAGGCCAAAAACCGCTCGATCTAAAATTCGAGTTTCGGGTCGTGCACTGTTATGCCAAATCTTAGAAAATTCATAACTTCCTCATACGAAGTCAGATTTGGGCGTACTTTTTTTGTATGTTCTCGGTTTAACGTTTTCTACGACTTTCGTTTAGATCGCTAAGGCTAAAAGTCGCTCTATCGTAAATTCACTATTTACGTCTCCCGGTGCCGTGTCGGTTCTGCCGTAAAACTTCGACGGGTCATAATTTCTTCGTTATAACTCGGATTTCGGCGTTCTTTATATGTACGGAAACCTTGAGACGTATTCTACAACTTGGTTAAGATTATTTATTCTAAATAATCTTTTGTCAAAAATTCGTTTTCGACCCCTATTATCTCTAAATTGACTAGCCCGGATCTACGGGCGTTACAATTATCTCCCCCTTAGGATGATTACGTCCCGGAATCATCAACGAAACAGGGCTCACATGATGACTCCATACGTTATCTCTTCATCCTAAGTCATAACTTTGATGTTTCTTCGAACGAGTATCTAACTCTTAGACTCCTTGACTACAGGCGGTGCTCGATCTTGCATCGGCTCTCTATCTTATGTTAGACTTCCAATCATGATCTTCATGTCACGATCTCGATCTTTATTGGAGACTCCTTATTTAACAAACTTGAGATAAGTTTCTTCCTTCGATTATCATAATAGACCGAAAGGTCATGTTCTAATAACCTCTCATCGTATGTTGCAATGCTTAGACTCAGGTCTTTTACAGTCAAATTCCGGAACAGACTATACCTTCCTTCATGTTCTTATCACATCTTAAAAGGTAGCATTTCTAGTTACAAGCAACTGTCGTGATACATGTACTGATCGCTTTGATTATCTTTCATTTCAATCTTCCGGCTTAAGTCAGATGCTACATCGAACTTGGTTCTCTGAACCTCGTAATATACTCATCATAGTCGGACTCGATTTGATATGAAAACTAGGGTCGGAATAACAATCATCTTCTTAGTCATTACCGAAACAATGGTAATGACATACATGAACAAAACGGAATCAACTACTA